GTGGTGAGTGTGTTGGCTTCTTGTGTACGCTTTTTGTGCCTTATTTTTCTGACTAAAAGCAAATTGGCTTTGCCTGTAATAAATTTAGTTAATTGAATACTCTTTGTTCTCAGAGAAAACAGTATTGAGTTGGAGCCTCACTCAGTGAGACTTCCTCAAGAACTCACCTGTGGGAGTTTGGAGGGAGAGTCTGCTTCTCTGGATCTCATTCAAGGGTCTAGGAGGCTCAACAAGGCAGGGAGTTTGTTTCGGATGAACTCTGCCAAGAAGACTCCATCTAGGCTCTTGGTAGGGCAATAGATGCTAGCCCAAGTTTCAAATTTAAGGTCTATATTGCCCCCATAACCAGGTAAATGATACCAGCGATGGAGACATGTCAGTAGATCATGTTCACTCATGTTCAGTTTGTGTCTTAGATATCCTTATCACTTTCTGTGCTAGGCTTTCAGATACAAATGATGCTTTTAGTTTTTTACCATTTCAAATCTCTTATTGTGTGACTCTGCTGGGTTAATTCTGTGCCATTCCACTAAGATTAGAACTCAGTGTTAACAAAGGATTGGCTCTGCTGCCTCTGAGCTGGATGGTGAAACATCCCCCTTGGGTTGATCATTCCAAACCAGAGGATGCCAATTTTCCTCACTCTGATTCAGATGTCACCCTTACATTTAAAGTATATATTTAGAGTATTTTGTGTAGACTCTCTAAGTTTTTAATAGCGGAAACAGTCATTCCAAGAATATCCTTAATGGCCAGCAACTCTTTTGAATGGATTGGTGGCCTCAGCCATTATGGACCAACTTCCAATTTTAGACCAGGAATTTGTGGGGTCAAACCCTGAACAAAGAAAGAGATTCTAGCTCACTTAGCAGCCAGAGGAATGCAGTGGCAGTGAAGGGTTTGAATTGTAAATCAAGCCTGTCATCTCCTTGTCAACTGGGAAAACCTCCGCTGACTTTGTGTGCGACTAAACTGTGTTATTAGGATTTTTTAATTGTTTTCCAAAAAGTTGAGGGAAATTAGACTCATGAAGCATTCATTTTGGCTGAACAGTGAGTCTGACTTTAGGAAAGCAGCAATTAATAGGGTACCATTTAAAAACTATTAAGTGATGTGAACATCTGCCCAAATGAGACTGCTTCTCACCAGTGCAACCAAAGTCAGTATTTCTCAAAGGGTGTTTTACGAGGACCAGTCCCAGCCCAGGAGCTCAGGTTTTCTTGGTTGTGATGTCTATGATTAAATGACCAGATAGAAGCTAGCTTCCTCCCTTTTTTTTTCCACCAAAAAGCAGCTTTGGCTTTTTCCCCATCAAGTCTGGGGAGATTTTTTGAAAGACTATATCCGGAGACAAGAGAAATCAGTGGTCCACACAACCTCTCACCTCTCTGAAAACTTGATACTGGGCAAAAAAGTTGCCTCCTGAGTTGAGAACAGAAGGCTGTTTGGGACAATTTATTGTGATGATTCAAGATTCATTATCCATTCCACAAATATTTATTGAACGCCTACTATGGAAGCTCTAGGCAGTGGAGCCCAGGCTGTGGTGATTGCCAAACCAAACTTGGTTTATTAAAAAAAAAAAAAAAATCCCAGCCAGTAAAAGAACTGAATGGGAAGTGAGAGGCTGAGGCCTTACTTCTGAGGACCACATGTGGAACAACCAGGCTACAGCCAGTCTGAACCATTTGGCCTACTTTCTGGATGATAAAAGAACCTGTATGGAACTTTAGTAGGGGTCTGAGAGTGTAATTATTACACTATGCACTAGAAAAGAACCATAATAATAGACCGTAAAAATCAACCATGCCTCCTGACTAATGCATCGGAGCAGATCATACCAGTTGATAAAAGTAATGAGGCCTACATGGCAGAGTGCTTCCATTTAGAAGATCTACTGCAAGCACCTACATGGGACAGAATTAGCAAGCGGGTGTTGTTTGCAGAGGCTGCTTGTGGGAACTGTAGACCATCACAATTAAGCAGTTGAGGTTTATACAGTACACACACACCCACTCACATTAGACCTCACTGATCCCTTAAAACCTACTTTATATTAGCAACGGCTGTGTACCTCAAGACTTTTATCCCAATGTTAAGTTGCCAAACAGATTTGCTCCATGCTTATTGCATACCATGTAATAAATTGCTATAGTTTCATCTATGTCTGGAAAACAAAGTAAAAGAATGACAGTAGTAACTCAGTAACATGCACTGAGGACTACGTTGTTTGAGAAGAGACTTTGTATTTCTCATATTGCGTCTCTTGAAGTATAAATTCTTTTACTGCCACATGTCAGTATTTATTGAGTTATATTAATTGTGTTCCTCTAAACATGACAGCCATCACAATATAGGCTCAGTCTGTGGGACTGTGTTCTAATATGTGTCCAAATATGGGCATTGGAATTTGATCCCAAGACATTTGAAGCAGAAGACTGTAACTGATAATTAAGGAGGCCAGCGCTGATGTCAACCAGAGCAATGGAGTATTGGTGCAGTGGGGCTGCGTTTATGGGGGAAACCAGCATGTTGGTGGGCCAAGGATTGGGATGGAGCAGTGATTAAAGTGGAAAGACCATTTCTCCTTAGACTTAGTCCCTGAGTTTGGCCAACTCTTTCTCACATTGGCTTGTTAAACTCTTTAGAGACTCAGCAGTAGCTGTTGCTGGGACATTCATTTAATTATCATTAATTACACCTTCTCATGCCAGCCATAAATGTGCACGTATAGAACTCTCCCATTTGACTATCATGTAATCTTACTTTTGATTGGAACACACTGTTCCTTCATAACATTAGGAAACAAAGTTCTCAAGTGGCACCCAAGAAAGAGCCACACAGGCAATCAAGGGAATATACTGTAATTTGTAATTTTACACACAAGGACTGATTCATATTAGAGTGAGTTTCCAGTAACACCCACAGACTTCTCTTACCAGTACCCTAATCTTCTCCATGATTTCAAATGCCTTACAAGATCCAAACCAAGGAATCAGATATAGGAATGAAGGGGCTGAAGATGAATCTTCTACCCCTGTTGTAAAGGAGAAGATGCTGAGGCATGGAGGTCATTGCCAAGCAGACCAGACTCACAGGTGCAGAGGCATTTCCATGAAAGCACTGAAAAGTGTTTGCTGTTGGTGGTGTTAGTCTAGAAAAATATGGCAGATTTAATTAATGGATAAGCTACTTTATTGTATTTATTAGGCTAGTATATTCTGTTTATTCTACTTCCCCAATAAAAATTATTCCTCTTTACTTCTTGTCGAAGGAAGGAGGGATGTTCTGTGATCAGCAAAACAAAATTAAATAAATAAAAAATAGAAGTTATTTTTGTTGCTTATAACTTTCTTCAGACAGGAGCAAGCAAAAAGATTCCAAATACACTTAGGTTTTCTTTCTTCTCATAAATATAACACAGTAAAGTGAGCGTGGTTTAGAGGAACCTGTTACATACATTAAGAAGAAGCAGAGGAGAGAAGTTTAAAGGGTCCAGGCACTAAGACACTGTTTAAAGGAGTTGTACTAATCACTCCAATTTAAACATTAGAGGTTGCATATGAGTTGTTTAATTTCCACCTTATAGATATATGTCAACTAAAAAATAAAAATTAAAAAATTAACTCATAAGAAAAAGATAAGTAAACACAGAAAAGGGACTTATATAATACTGCTTACCACAGAAAGCATTAAAATTCTGTTAATCATGGTGTTGTGGGGCAGCCAGTGGGAAGTCCTTCTAGGGCAGTGGTTCTCAAGCTTCCTAATGCTGCGACCCTTTAATATAGTTCCTCATGTTGTGGTGACCCCCAACCATAAGATTATTTTGTAACTTCTTCATAAGTGTGATTTTTCTACTATTTGAATTGCAGTGTAAATATCTGATATGTAAGATATCTGATATGGGACCCCTGTGAAAGGGTCTGTTGACTCCCTACAGGGGTCTCAGGGCATTGGTTGAGAATCACTGCTCCACAGGAATGAGTGGGGCATTGCTTAGTTGAAAACATATGCCAATGGGGAATTACAGTTGGGAGAGGGTTTGCATTTTCCTCTGTTTTTAGTTTTGTGCTTTAGTATCTGACTGGCTATGCTATCTAAGGTAAACATCCTCACTTTATGCTTTGGAAAAGTGAGAGGCTGCATATATTTCCCTGAAGAATATGGGCTTGGGGAACGAGGTGTAACATGTACAAAGTGGATGATGTGTTTGCCTCCCTCAGCACAGTGGGACTCCTCCCTGTGGGCAAGTCGCCACTGTTTCCCTTTGGAATCACCCACAGGCATCGTTTTAAAGAAACAGAATTCTTCCTGTGCTCAGGGTTAAGGCAGTAGGTTTTAAAACTCAGCAATAGACCCCCGCACCATTAAAAGAACATATAATACATATACACAAATCTAAAATTGGTTTAAAAGTATTTGGGAAAATCATCTAAATAATGTAAGTGAAGTTTGCACAGTCCTTCCTGTAATTAACAAGAAACAAAACTAACAGCAGCAGGTGTGCTAATCAGAGAGTCTTGTAGACCACACTTTGATTGGCATTCAGGGTCATTTGTAAAGGTGATTTTGACCATGCTCAATTTTTGCCCAGTGAACCCAGAGTTGAAGTTTTCCCTCTGGCTATCCCAAGCAACCAATTTCAAAGTTCTCAGTAGGACTGGGGGGCAGAGGGCATGTGACTTTGCCTTGGAATCTTGCGGGGAAGTTGGGGTCTTACCTGGCAATAGCATCCACTAGCTAGCTTTCCATAGGCAGGCCTTAGGCTCTATAATCGATTTGACCTTTTTCTTTACTATGTGCTAAAGAAGGAATACTAGGAACTCAAGACAGGAGAACCAATAAACTGGAAAATGGGATCTGTTTTCACTGTGTTCATGTGTAACTTGCTCATATGGGGGAATGGCGATTGAAGACTCCCAGTCATTGTCTTTTTCACGTATCTGAAGCAGAAGAGGGAGATATTCATGGTCTTCTGTTTTCCTTTACTCCTTCAGATTTATGAGGAATCCAAGATGAACTTGGAGCAGGAGAGGCCGTTTGTCTGCAGTGCCCCAGGCTGCTCCCAGGTGAGTGTGTGGCTCCTCTGTGCTCTGGTTTGCAGGAAATGCTTCTGCCTCCCCTGAGAAGGCATCTCTTCATTGAGTTGCCATGTCCATTGGGCTGTCTTTCTTTGATGAAATACTTTTTCAAAGTATCCGTAATCATCGACATCATGATTTTCATCTTCACTACTGTTAGATCACACTTTGTAGTTTGAAATACTTCCCTTTCATCCTGAAACGAAGCAGTGTTGACATCCCTATGAGTAACTTCCTCCGGAAGCAAGCCAGACGCATCCAGCCCACCATTTCCGCTGGGTGGTCATTCAGAAAGGGGAAGATGGTGTGTACTTCACAGCAGCCAATTGCATACATACTGGGCTTTTTTTGATGAGATGCCTCAAAGTTGTGGGTTGAATTCTGGATCCTTTCTGAGGAGCAGAATACCCCTATGACTGTTCTCAAACTATAGTTCTTCGGCCTAGAAGTTTTAAGAGGATTGGATATCTTGGCATGCAGGATTGAATCTGAGGGTCTCTGGTAACTCCCTTCAAATGCAAAGTATGCATGTTAGATGAGATACAGCTTCCAGGGTGTTTAATATAGGGCATGAACACAGTAAATGTTAACGCCCACTCTTGTTAACACTAATGCTGCTGCTGCTAAATCTGTTATACTAGACCCCATGTCTATTATGTGAAATTAGAGTTTTGTGTTTTATTTTTAAAAGTTTAGGGTGACTTTTTCTGCTCTTGACTCAAGAGTCCATCTTTGGGTAGTACCATGTTCCAGGGGTTTTGATATGTATAAATGGTAGTTTTCATACCAAGATCTTTCTCTTATGGGGTATAGGACATATTTCAGAATCTGAGCATAAGCATTTTGCTAATGTGGGAGATTGCACTTACTCCTTAATTTTACTGGACCATCAAGGAAACCAAGGCCCACTCCTACCAGCTCATGTGATAGAGTTGGCAGTCCTGTGTGGGGCAGTGCCTAAGGTCAGGTAGGAGTCAGATGAGTACCACCCTTATTATAGTTTCCCAGAGTTCATGGAGGATTCTGGGAGAATCTAAGTAGGAGTTCTTGGAGGGACAAAGTCACAGAAACATAAAACATTGTCATCGGCGTTATCAGCTGCTGAGCAACCAGAGTCTGGGATTTTCATCAGAGGTTTTTGTGCTAACATTTCTTTCTAACTTGTGAACAAGAAAATGAGTAGAGAAAATATTTTGGAGAAAACTGGTTTTGAAAGTTATTTTGAAGTAGGAAATACTAGGGGAATGTGGGTAGGTTGATACGTAACTGGGAAAATCCTGGTAGACAAGGCCTTTCCATGGTAAATGCAGAGTATCTCCTTACTAAGTTAAAACCTGGCTCCTAACTGAAACAAGACTCCCCCTCCATTTCTTCTAAGGTAAGCCTCCTTGGCTAAAGGAACATGGATAATTGGAGGGCTTTGCTTGCTTGCCTGTGACAATAGACATTAAGAGTTGTTTACTACAAGCCACCTAGACACTTTCTGGGTACCTACCTGTGTGTGTCTAGGCATTCTAACTGCCCCTTGAAAATTGCATTGCTCCAAATGCATAGATCTCTGCTCTCACAGACCTGGGCATCAGATCTATAATCATATGATGAAATCATCAATTAACTAGTTGACTTTAATTTTTCATGAAGAAGCAATAGACCACCCTGGGGAACTGACTTTACTTGTGACAGGGAGGTAAATGGAAGGCTTCTCTATGGAACAGGACCCTTCAGAGATCCAGTAAAACAAAAGGAGTGGTTGGGCTAGGGTGGGATTTTCAGATTTCTCCCAGGTTAGAGTACCAGTAAAGAAGAGCTTCTAGCCGTATGTGGGATTCATGTGCGTCAGACAGGAGAGAGGTATCTATGTATAAGTATTGAACTGTACGGCACACACTTTTCCAAGCTTGGCATTATTAACATCTAAGTACAAATAACTCTTTGATGTGGGCACTATCTTATATATTATAGAGTGTTTGGCAGCATCCTTGCCTCAACCCACCAGACCCCAATAGCACTCCACAACTGTGACAACCAGAAATATCTTCAGAGGTTGCCAGATGTCCTCTAGGGTCACAACCCATGCTCCTGGTTGACAATGCTGATAGTTTCATTTGGGTTTTCATTTTGTTCTTCTGTATCCCTTCTGCTCTGGATCCCCAACTACTAACAGATACTCTCACACTCTATTTCATGCGTTGCTCTAAACCACCTTTCCCTCACTGGAGTCAGGCAAGGTATAGACAAGTCAATGCCATAGACATGTTGTCACTGGTGTCCTGCACTGTTAGAGCTGGGGTCGTTGGAGGATGGAGCAAAAGCTGTTGGATTCGGCAGTCAGTTGCTTGAAGGAGACATGAGAGAAAGAAGCAGAGGGTGGAGGGATCAGTGAGTGAGGTGGCATGGGGGCTGAAGTGTTGGCATAGAAGAGCATTCCAGGAGCAGGATACAGTGCCGAAGGAGAGTGACCTAATGGCAGCCTTCGGAGGGAGGCAGCTTCGTAAAAGCTAAAGGATAGCCGGGGAGTCAAGAGTGAGAAACCAGTGAGAGGGCAGGAGAGAGCAGGAGAGCTTGAAGGAGCCATGCCAAGGAGATAGAGGGTACAGAGCGTCCTGTGGGGCAGTGGACAGCCTCAGTTTATTTGAGCCAAGAAGGGACAGAGGGAGAATCTGCCAAGTCGCATGCAGAGTCTGAGGGGACTGAGTGTGGCTGACTTTTGGGGTTAAGTGTCTTGTGTATGTAACACTGGGGATTTGAACCCAGGACCTCACATATCCTAGGCAAGTACTTTATCACAGACTCATACCCTGAGTTCTTGAACAGGTCCCTTTTTGAATGCCCTTGAATATTTTGTTGAAGGAGGAAGCCAAGGTGTTTCTTTAACGAGGCTAAGTGGATTGTGGGAAATGTTGTATAAATGTGAGAAATTAGGATTTATGTAGTGTCTTGATTTTAAGGGAGATGATATCAAGCCTCCTCCACAGCTTTGGATGTGATGATGTATCTGTAAGTCGGTGTCACCTTTATTTAGACAAACTGTTATAAAACTATGCCCATCTTTTAGCAGAATGAAAATGTAACCATCAGCTGACTGTCATCGTTGGTGGAATATTCATAACTCATAGACGTATCAACTGCTGTGGTCACGACATTTGCCCTCCTGCCATCCCATAATCTGGGAACATGCAGGGAAAAGATTAAGGTGCCTGGAAGATGAGCAAACAGAAGAAGTGTTAGTGCTTGTGTTGTCTTTGGGAAGGTGATGGAAGGGCTCCTCTGCTCCACTTTCTCTTCTTCAGGAGAAACTGCTCTGTTGGGGATGGCCTCTGATACCTGGGAGATCTTTTACAATGTGATCTGTAAACGTGATCTTTGTCTCAGAAGTAACAAGGAGCATGCTCCCTGTGCTCTGTCTGTCCTCTTAGAGCCCAGGCCCCCACTCTCCTATTATCTCTGTTGATTGTTGTTTTTAACTCTCATGTCTGTTTTATACTGCGCATCTCACTTATTTACAGTTTGCTGTTACTTGTCTCATTCAGAAGGCAACTTTAGTTAATATGCAATCTTATAGCCACATACCTGTAATCTTCGAGTGTAGGAGGCTAAACAGGAGGATCCTGAGTTCTTGGCCAGCCTGGGCTAGTAAACTATTTCATTCTGGTTGTTGTATGATGCTTACTTTAGAGTCTACTAGTTTACAGAGTCAAAAATGGCTTATTATGGGCTGGAGAGCTCATTCAATGGTCAAGAGCAGATAATGATGTCACAGAGGACCCACACTTTGTTCCTAGCACCCACTTCAGTTGGCACACAACCTCCTGTAATTACAAGGGTATATGACGTCCTCTTCTGGCATCTGTGGACACCTGTACTCACCTCCACTATATAAAAAAAACCTTATTAAATAGAGAGATGGATCAGTAGTTAAATTACTGACTACCATCTCAGAGGCCTGGGTCAGTTTCTAACACCCATATGGTGGCTCACAACCATCTATAACTCCAGTTCCACAGGATATGATGCCCTTTTCTGACCTCTGTGGATTCTAGGTTCATACACGGCACACAGACATACATGCAGGCAAAACACTTAGGCATATAGAATAAAATAATAATTTTTTAAAATGGCTTATTAATATGGGAGATATTATCATATTGTTTATATTACATTAATTTTTCTCTCTAACTCAGTTTTACCAGTGTTAGATATTTGGTGTTAAGAAAATCAAGAGACGGCCGAGCGGTGGTGGCGCACGCCTTTAATCCCAGCACTCGGGAGGCAGAGCCAGGCGGATCTCTGTGAGTTCGAGGCCAGCCTGGGCTACCAAGTGAGTTCCAGGAAAAGGCGCAAAGCTACACAGAGAAACCCTGTCTCGAAAAACCAAAAAAAAAAAAAAAAAAAAAAGAAAATCAAGAGACTAGATAATACAGACACAGAAATACCCGCAGCTATATAAAGTATACCTCTATGTAACCGGAAGTTGGGTGCAAGTGCCGCTCTGCAAACTCTTCAGAACATGATACAAGCATCAAATAAATAAGTTCTTATACCAAGAACCACGTTCAGAACATTTCATAGGATTCAGCCTAGTGAACTCCCTTGTTTGACCACAAATCCATTCTCTTTGTAGGAAAAACTTCAACCATGGTGTACTAAGGTAATAGAGATTCATATTGACCATCCTGAGTTCTGAAAGTTTCTTTTCAAGTTATCAAAGATTCAGAAATGTTCATCAGGATGTATTATTTTCCTGTATTTATATTGGACTTTAACACATCAAACTTTAATAAATAAAAACTCCATTCAGTTCAGTCATTACAAACATATCAAGCTGAGCTGTGTTAGGCTAGCATCTGCTTGATAATGAATTACAGCCAAACCACAAAGCTTATTTCTGTTACTGATGGCTACACTTTTATGGTAGCGTTTTTAAGGGAACATTGTTTTCTCCTTTAGATTTTAGCATAACCCTTGAAAGATTTAGAGTTATTGAGGGGTCACTATTTCTGTTCTGAACCACCTTGTTATGCCATGAGTAGGGCAAAGGAAATGACCAGAGGGTTTTACACCAGAGACCAGACTCTTGCCTCTGGAAGACAGGTCTTTTTCATTCACGTGGCTCTATTCAACATGGAAAAGCCAGAAATGGCCCCAAATAATTGGAAGCAACACTTTTGACAACCCTAACATCACACTCAGAAAATTTCAAATAAATACAGGCTGACTACAGTATGCAGAGTATAGAACAACCCAAATAATTTGTCATATGACTATAAAAATCATATGTATACTTTGAAAAAAAAACCCCAGATAATATGGGGACTGGGTCTTCATAAACAGAAACATACTGTAAAGATGTCATGGTGTACATTAGCAGATACGTTTAAAAAATTAAGCACGGTATAGAGTTCTTTCCCAAAGTCTGACATAAATCAAAATTCTTTCTATGTCATGCGTTTCTCTTATTTTTGGTTAATCGGTAGATAATGTCTAGCATACTTATCATGCCTTAGACTTAATTTTACACTATTATATAAAGCAGTAACTAGTACAGAAAAGCTCCACATGGTTTTGCATGTCCCCAGTGCTACGCAGATCTCCATCCATTTCCTCCTTTTGGATGTTGTACTCTCTGCCGTCATTAGCTACTTTTCAGGACCACAAGAAGCATCCCTTCCAACACTGTTGTCTTTTCTTAAGAGGCTTCCTAACAGAGTCAGGATCTCGGGCGCAGTGTGTCTTCTGTGTGTGTTGTTTCGGTCTCTTCAACAGGGCTCCTTCACACTTTCTCTTTCATTAGTTAGCCAAGGATAAGACAGAGTTCAAAGTCTTTGAACTTGAAAGTTTTCTTCCCCCAGATGGAAACCTCTAGTTCCCAAGAAACACACAGATTCTGCAGTTCCCTGATAAGCCAGCTGGGCTTAGGCAAGAAGCAGAGGACTGTGGGAAAGTTCTGGGGAACTGGAGAATGACTAGAGACCACTTATCAGTATTCCTCTGCTGTGTAGGCAAGCCTCTTGGTAAACAAATGGACATGATAATGCGCATTCTTGCATATAGTTGGGGGGACCCCCCTGCCCCCATCATGTATGTGTAAATCAGCATGGGACTGTGAACTGTATTTGCTTGTGGGATAACATTGTTTTTTTCAGAACTGATTTTTTGTTTTTGTTTTTGTCTTGCCTGTCCTGTTTTTGATGCCGAGTGTCTTTTTCTTTGTGATGTGAACTATATGTTGCAAACTGAGTGTCTCCTGTTCCTCTCTCTATTTACCCACCAGCGGTTCCCGACAGAGGACCATCTGATGATTCACAGGCACAAGCATGAGATGACTTTGAAGTTTCCATCAATAAAAACAGACAATATGCTCTCAGGTAAGAAAGCATCAGGTGAGGAAGGTTTGGGGGATCAGGTTAGCTCCACGTAAGACACTCACTCATGTTTTGGTGGGTTAGAGCCCAGTGGCAAATCTGTATTTTGAAAGTATATATGTCTAGTTTATAGCAGAAATATGATCAGCTAGAACCTCGGTTACCCAAACAATTGAGCACCCCAACCCCAAGACGGGTCTTAGGTAGCCCAGGCTGTCATCAAACTTGATATGTAGCCAAGGATGCCCTTGAACTCTTAATCTTTCTGCCTCCACCTCCTTAGTGCTGAGGTTATAATATGGGTCACTACACCTGATGTAACTTTCCTTTTTATATGTGGCATTGAAACTTGGATCTCTGTTATTTCAGAATCTGTGCCTTAACCATACAGGTAACAAATGTAAACTGAGCCTCTGCAAGGCACTGCTCTGTAGATATGTAGATTGACCGATTTCCTGCCTTCGTGGATATAAGGGCAGGCTTGCATGCATTAGGGTAGGCTTGCATGTGGAAACTCAATTCAAATCAAGGCTCATCAGTGATACATATCAAATGAATGCCTTAGGAGGCCAGTGCCACTCAGCTTTAGTGGAAGAACAGAGGAGATACTCCAAGAAGGCTAGTTTCCTTAAGAAATACCTGCCTCTTAAGTGGGCGAATTAATGAAATTATGCACAGAAATGTGCTCAGTGAATGGGAGCAAAATAAACAAGGATTAGTCCATCAACTAATCCCCATTCCTTCCCATGTTAAACGGAAATTAGAAAAATAATGGTATAAGAAAGAGGAACTTGAAAGCTTGTCTGGACTCTGCCTTGACTGTGTGACCTTGAACAAATAACTAAACCTTTCTAGGTCTTAGTTTTTCTCTCCATCATATGGGAATGATTGTGTCTCTGCAGCATGCTTCACTAATTGAATGTGAAGGGCCAATGGAAGTGTTTAGAGTGTTTCACAGACCAGAGCAGGGTGACCAGGACATTTCCTTCACACAGGAACTATTTGACCTGTACCCCTGTCTCCCTGACATGAAGAAAGAGATGACACTCCTGTGCCCACATTTTGATAGACATCAGAAGGGAAACCCAGTGCTCGTATGAGTTAGTATTTTTGTTGCACTTAAAATTTCTAGGGATAAGCCGGGCGGTGGTGGTGCACGCCTTTAATCCCAGCACTTGGGAGGCAGAGCCAGGTGGATCTCCATGAGTTCAAGGCCAGCCTGGGCTACAGAGTGAGTTCCAGGAAAGGAGCAAAGCTACACAGAGAAACCCTGTCTTGAAAAACAAAACAACAACAACAAATTTTTAGAGATTGTATTGCCATTATCACTAAATCCTATGCAAATTGCCAGTTTATTAACATGAAGGGTACAAGAAACAGGAGCAGCTATTCGGGAGTCACCAAACAGGGTAGTCCTGAAGGCACTTGATCCTCAATGTCCCCTGGGCTGATACATACTGGGCTACTACCTTCATCACCAGGCAGCTCCAGGTTAGACACGTGAGCAGGTGGATTTGTATTGGAGTCATCCCAGCTTCCCAAGCCACTAGAGGTCTGTCACTGGTGCCGATTCTCTGTGCTCAAGAGACCAGTCCAAAGGGAACCTCTTCCCTTTCCTTTGTCACTGCCCATCTCCACTCTCTACTCTCTGCCCTTCTTCCTTCCTTCCTTCCTTCCTTCCTTCCTTCCTTCCTTCCTTCCTTCCTTCCTTCCTTCCTTTCTTTCTTTCTTTCTTTCTTTCTTTCTTTCTTTCTTTCTGTTTGAATAAATGAACTGCTATTCAGGGACTGATTCAGCTTTTCATGAGTTTAAAGAAGTGCAGAAAGGTGTTCAGATGAGAACTCCCATGTGAAAGAGACAGAGAAACTAGAAGGTTATGTTGGATGCCGTGACTTACTGAAGTCTATTAAGGTGCACACAGTCTAACTTTATGTTTCAGATGTGAACATGAGTTCATAAGGAGTCATTCCCAATAGTTAAACCTATTGGCTATTCCTTTATTTTCCCGAACTGGATCCCTAGCACAGGTTGCCCAGTGCAGCAGGAGGGCATATTCAAGAGAAGCGAGTATGTAGGATACGTGGCTACAATGGCATCCTGCAGCATGGGTAGTGTCTTTCAGGCAGGCTAGCCTGGCTCTACAAAGAGTCTCATCTGAACACCTGTAAAACAGCAGCCCCAAACACATGAACACACGAACGATGGAGTGAGGCCCCTTCGTCTTTACCGCCTAAAACAGGTTTCTGATTAATCTCCTGTGGTCTGCCCATGGTTTGTACTGGACCTTTGCTGATTTGTGGCTCTTACTGGCAATCATCAGTAGACCAGGTGAAAATAAATGAGGAATTTGCTATGAAATGGGAAATTAGTTATGAAAAAAATGAAGAAAGAGATAAACACAGAGAAAATAGCATGGTTAAGGCAGGGGCACATTTTATCTGATTCCTCCTCTTTTACTGAAGTTAATATGGAATGATTTCATATTCCAGTGAAGTGATCAATTTCAAAACATGGTTCCCACTTTGCATGCCCATGGTGTTGTGGGACTTTGTGGAATGGAGAGATGCCCAGTCCAGATCCGTGTTCTTGTATTTAGAGAGCTAATGCTGGCTATGTGTTGTGTTCTAGGGCTGTTCACATTGAAGGGAAATAGCCTTTCTGTTGAATATTTGCACTTTACTGTTTTTGTTCCAGGAAGTGACTAAGTTGTATAGTTATAAAAAAAATCTAAATTTTATAATTAAGATTTTAGCATATTTATGACTATAAATTTAACTGAAGTTTTACACATCTGTATCTTGATTTGTTTCAATTCATTAAAAACTCCCCTTGTCACAGAAATTTGTTCATTAAAATATTATTTGTCTTAAGTCTATTTTGTGTCTCATCACGAGGATGATAGTATAAATCAAATAGTAAATGAACATCAAGCAAAACTCTCCAAATTCTTCTTGATCCATTTTGTCAAACAGTATTTAATTGCACAAAATGATGTTCAGATGAAGTGGGACTGGACATATCATATGAAGAGAAGATGTGTTCAGTGTGCATTTGCATGGCTAGTGTTAGGATGTCCTGTTAGTCTCTATTTTGTAGCATGACTATATCCTCACTGTTTGAAACTATCATAGATAATTAAAGAAGATGGTTCAGTGTCACAGATGCACACTTCAAGAATAAGTTTCCAGAGATGGGTTGACAGCTTGGTGCTAGAATGCTTGCCTAGCATGTATGAAGCCCTAACTAGGTTTGATCCTCCACAGTCTCTGTCTAAGGACATTTTTCTCCCCAGGGGACTGACAGATCTGAACTACTTTGTTTTTCTGTAAGCCATATTTTATACAGGTTGAGTAGAGTATACTGTTCAAAACTGACTGTCACTGATCCTTGCCATGCCACAGAGAGTGGATGCAGGTGACAGGTATTTGAATGAGTCTACTCTTCTGAATAGCATTGAAACATAGACTCCTCACTCTAAGTGGGTAGATAGGGACATGAGTGGGGTGGCGGCACTGAATTGGAGGTACAAAAGGATCCATACAGCCTTTCCAGCTACAGGTCTCTTGTTCTAATCTGCTCTATACGGTACATTTCCAGAGTTCACTGATGATGGTAGGCACGAGTCTTGGCTCAGTTGTCCTCCTTCAAATGAAATGTAGCTTCATGATGAGGGAAGTTGTAATATAGGTTGTTTTTAATATTTACTTGTTGTGGATGAGTGTTCTGTTTGTATATATGTGTGTTCCTTGTGTCCATGGAGGTCAGAAGAGGGCATTGGATCTGGAGTTACTGATGTTTAAGAGCCGCAATGTGGGTGCTTGGAACTGAACCCTGGTCTCTTGCAACAGCAGCAAGAGCTCTCAACTGCTGAGTCTCACCTCTCCAGTCCTGAGATACAGAAGGTGTTAAGTGATCTTTGAGGAGAGAATCTGTAGAAGAGTATAGCTGGAGAATTTCTCTGCAGCTCCCGCCAAGCCCCGCCAGTCCCAGAGCCCACTTATAAAATAAACACACAGACGCTTATATTATTTAAACTGTTTGGCCTAACGACTCAGGCTTCTAGCTATCTAGTTCTTATATCTTAAATTAACCCATTTCTATAAATCTATACCTTGCCACATGGCTCGTGGCTTACCGGCGTCTTCACATGCTGCTTGTCATGGCGGCTGGCAGTGTCTCCCTGCCTCAGCCTTCCACTTCTCAGAATTCTCCTCTCTTTTAGTCCCGCCTATACTTCCTGCCTGGCCACTGGCCAATCAGTGTTTTATTTATTGACCAATCAGAGCAACATACAGACCATCCCACAGCAGAACAGAATTTCTTTTCACATGCAGACAACAAAATGACTGGCTGTTACATATACAGATCCATTCAACTGGAAAATCCTAGTCCAGTTTCAGCAGAGATGAAGAGGACAGCACGTGAGGCTCCTTTAATTGGACTGTCATTAGGCACTCGGGAATTTTCATCTTGTCTGTCAAGCAGCTCCAGCACACTATTATTTTTACAGGATTCCAAGGTTTTATACGTGAAAAATCAAACAAAAGCCAGAATGAGAAAGCACCTAGGTGCAATGTTATTTATAGCAAAAAAAAAAAAAAAAAAAAAAAAAAAAAATCAAATAATATTTTAATGAGAATCCAATTGGGAAAAGAACAAAAAAAGGTCTTTTGAAATGTACTCCCCCCCCCCATTTTCCTGTCATAAATCTCAGGGACTTTAAGTTCAATCTTCCCTGTGGAGACAGTGGGCCAGGACTACCCTCTGAGGTAGGCCTTCATAAGCATACATACGTGTAAGATGATAGATTTTGCTGTACGGATGGGAAGATAAAATTGGAGAGTATCATGAATCTTTCCAAAAAGCTTAACCCTACAGCTTGGGTGGGAAGCCTGAGAGAGATACACATGGTGTGGTAGTTTGAATGTAATTGGCCTGTGTAAGCTCATTGGAAGTGGCACTATTGGAGGTGTGGCTTTGGTGGAGTACATGTGGCCTTGTTG